ATATTTAGTCGTAAAGTAGTCTTAAATACAGTCACGAAATTACGTGTTTGCACAGTATTATACAATAAAAGACCCATGCGTGTCCGAAACAATTACTTGGAAGCCAATTTTTATGAAATTAGAAACGTCAAATTCTGTAACTGACGTGATCGTTTTTGACATTTTAATATAACTAGCGTCTAAGTTCATTGCAATTACTTTACTCATGATATATTATTGATTTAAGTATAATCAAAAGTATAATACAATCTCAGGTCTTAGAAAATCTATCTTTTACTTTAGCGAATTAATCTGTATATTTGCTAATGGTGAAAATTGCTTATGTGCTTGAAATTGCTCAATTATTGTGAACACTGTTATCTATTATGAGAAGTCATTATAACCTAGAAGTCTAATATACTAAAACCGAAGTTTCACTCCAGAAAGAATGAAATTTAATTTCTATTACTTTATAAAGTATTTTCTTCTTCCTTTCTGCATGCTTTCGGGTTGTAATTGGAAACATACTTGTTGAGTCTTTGAGAGGTCCAGGGTTTGAGTCCCGGCCACGTCACACATTTCAGAACATAAGTGCACATTTTTCACTTCTCCAGCATAAAAAAGTAATAATAATAATAATGACTCTACAAGTAGCACCCAAATAAAAGGTGTTGAATGATAATTTGTCACCAACAGGATTTGGCGAATGGGTCCACTAATCCTCAGTAGTCCTTTAAAAGGGGATTGTATATAAGGTATTTTCGTCCTTTGTGGTGTAACTGGAAGAACACTCGATGCGGGCTTCGAAAATTTCTAAAAGACTTCACAGTAGCGCTCGAACTAAAAGGTGGTGGACGATAATTCATCACGACCAAGATTTGTCGATTAGGTTTCCTCAGCCCCAGTCGCCCTTTGAAAAGCGAAGTACATAAGGTGTTTTATGTCTCCTATACGCATGTCATCGTGCTGTAACTGAAAGCACACTCGATGCATGTTCCGGAGTTCGAATTCGAATCCTGCGATGAGAGCGCTGCATATTTTTCATGTCTCCAAAGAAAAAAAACCACTACAACTTGGCCAGTTTATCTTGCAGTTTTGAAGATAAATGTGTTAGCATTGAGTAACTTTAAACCTCTCAACCATTCAATAGCATTATGTTCGCTGTCACTTGACGTTTTCAAAACTTTCACTAAAACTCAAAATGCAGCATGATGCATAAGTTTATAGTTTGTATTGATTGCTTATTTAGTCAAATGCAGCAAAGCACTTGAGGGTAATGTGCCTAAGAGGAGGAATGGCTTTGTAAAGGAATTCCTAAGGAAACCTAACTCGTATTCACTTTACACATGCTGGGCAACACGACAATATCTTTGCATCTGGGACTGGCAATATATATTTAAATTTTACAATGTGTAGCAGTATAAACAATATTATTCTATTATATTTATATATCTAAAAATTTATGACAGCAAGTTTAGTTTTAAGTACTTTACTGATATTTTCATTCATATTTATTCTTAAATATTTTACTGATAAAGATGATTTTGTATCTATATTATAGATTCTAACCTGAATGTACTTTCTTCATATATTTCTTTTTTTTTCCCTCCAACCAGTGGGCGAATGCTTGAGTGAATGCTTAACTAATTAGAGCAAAGCACACAAAGTCAATCTGTTTTATAAGTGGAGGGATTCCTTCATGAAAAAGCAGTCTAGTGAATTAAGGGCTGAACACAAGTAGTTTCCGAAGATTTGGTTGCTGCGTATAGACTAGCTACATGGTGTTTTTCGTTCACGTACAGTGTGGATATGATTCATTCTCCTGCAAAATATAACTTATGACGGCATTCATCCGAAAACAGGTCGCCCTCCCATATTTTGCATTAATCAGTTTACCAACTAGGACTGTGGCGTTGAATGGCTCAAGATGGCAGAAGCTGACTGAGACAACCTTGTCCAGAAATCGGCTGTAGAGCATAAGGAGAAATTTACCAGCTAAGCAAATTTTCCTTAAGAAAATACGGAAACGTGCAACAAGTCCATTGATTCAGCGATAAGAAAAATTGCGAAGAACCGCTAGGATCTATAGTTTGGCCACGTGGGTTAAATCACTAAAGATTGGCATTTTGTCTCGAGCTCTATTTTTCATCTTTCAAAGGCTTAAACAGTGCATTGATTTTCGGTGTTTTTTACCATGTATGGTATAAATGCAAGTCAGGTTTCGTTAGAACGTTATTCAAGAAGTCTTCTCGTCTCAGGCAGATGCCCTCGTTTACTTAAATCAAAGAAGTTACTACAATCATTCCTAGAAAACTTTCTAAAAAAATTGGATCTCGTTATACATGGCAAAAACTAGGAATCCTATGCTGACAGTCCCATCAGTGACCAGGAATGGATTCTGGGGCAGACTATCAAAGCATTATTATTTCCATCTTATATTCAATCCAATTTAAGAGGCCAAGCACAATTAACTGAGACAAAGCACGCAGAGATTAAGAAAGGAGAAGTCTTAGTAAAGGATTTTCTGATTTTTTTTTTTTTTTTTTTTTTTTTTTTTTTTTTGTATTTACGTTATACATAGAGAAAAATCACAAAAATGCCCATGCAGTCAATGCCTTCGCCTAAATACTGAACAGTAGTTCGTTTTGGTTTCGGTTATCCGTCACTAGATAGATTGATTGCACGAGAACTTAGTTTTCCTCGTGCATAAAGCAATTAAGAATCATTTTTCCTTATAAAGTACTTCACGAAGGCATCCCTTTCCGTAAACATATAGCCATAGTGTGTCTTGCCATTTCAAAGACCTTTGTCTGATAAAGCATTTGACCACTGGTAAATGTGCTTTGCCACAGTTCAATAAATCCAATCCTTAGAGAGACCGCAGAATTGTGAATCATTTCTTACGACGAAGCCCTTGGGTATTTTCACTCCTGTGGTAGATAACTCTGGATTAATTTCCATTTACAAAGAACCTAACTTAATCTTTTATTACTATATATTCTGTTTTAAAGAGTAAAGAATATGAGGCAAAAGAGTCTCAATCTTTTTCACCAGGATTTCATTAAAACTCTTAGTAGAATACCTGAACGTACACAAGTATCGTTGCAGTGTGAAATATAATAATAGATTAGAGAAATTTTTAATCATAAGAAAGGACTGTTAGTTTATCTACACAGTATGTGATACAAAAAGAAGAAAGTGAAACGGAAATACTTTTCAATATATATCTGGTACACAAAATAAGTTTGCAAAAATTTGAAGCTATGAACCAAATTTCACTGGCACACAGATCAGCGACAATTCGTATAAATATTTGCCTTTCTTTCTTAAATCAAACTATGAAAACTGATGAAATCATGTTTCTGTATTTAAACATGATTAAAGCTAAATTCTAAAAATATTTCAATTTTTAAAAGTTTATAAGCACTAAGAGGAATGTACCAAAATATTATTAAAAGTAAATTATTCTTGGAATAAAATTAAAATAAGAGATATGTAGACACCAGTGTCACCAACAGTATTCAGGACTCAGGTAGTCCTCAGCAGATTGCAAATTGCATACTGAAACATTTTATCATGCCCATTAGATCTTATTTTTGATACTGACAATAATGTGTCCAGGAAGTAAAATTAGAAATTTTGTAATCGAGATATGCATTGTATGGCGTTATAAACATCTTTAATTAAGCATGCTAACAGCCTAAGTGTTAATAACAATTATAGCAAATTGTTATTAAGAAATGCAGATTGTTTGTTACGTGAGGAATGAAGAACTTTCATGACCTGTATGTTTGATTTACTCGGTTCTAGAAAAGAATTGCAAGGCTATCTGCCTAAGGTGAGGGATGCCTTCGTGGAAGATTTTCCTAGGGAAACTAATTCAGATATACGTTACACACGGAGAAATACTAGTAAGTCCCCGATTCTGTAAGAATCGCATGCTGCTTTAGTATATTAAAATGACCAGTCAACATACTTGTGTCCTATCTAACGTTCAACTCTTCTTATCATATCTCAGTGGTCTGACACAAATAATATTTCTCATATGTTAATATTGGTGTTAACTCGTCGAGCGCATAAGGAGAACTAAATTTCTCTGAGTGTGTTGATATTAATTCTTTGAATGTAGGAGAGAACTAAAATTTTTTGACTGCTTAGGGATCTCTCAGACGATTTTTAGTTACTCTCATTTTTGAAATCATTACTTGAAACTATAAACATTGATCAGCTATATCTAAAAAATAATGTGCAAATCACAAAAATAGATCCTAATAATAAGGCTTACAACATCCTATTCCTTGTTCTATTAGAATCTTAAAATGCTCAGTTTTAAATATATAAAAATAACATCTTACCTATTTTCCAAAGTAAAAGCTTTAAAACTTAGGATTCGGTTTTAAACTACTTTACATATTGTTGTCCACAGCTTTCAAACAAAGAAAAATTAAATTAAACATTTTGATATTTTCCAGTTTTTTTTTCAGATACTGAGTTAGTATTTTTGTATATTAACAGTTCGTAGAAACTTTGTGAATACTCATGCCAGAACAGCAAAGAAATTAACCTAAAATTTGGACCCTCTTTTTACAGCGCAAAGCAGTAATAACATTTACACGTAAAGATATCCGGAGAAAATCTGGATATCTTCACCATCTGGATACTTTCATTAATTTACATCTCAACTATAAGTAATGTAGCGAATATAAAATAATATATAACAACATTAAACCCTCTGTAAACGTGAACATTTATCAAGTTGACAGCGTCCACGACAGACATTTCTTCTTTTTCTATTCTAATAAAAGATTCTTAGCCCGACAATATGCAAGCTTTTTTTTTTTCGCGGAAGGGAAACTACACTTAAATTCAGGTATAAGTTCAATAAAAATTTAGTAATTTGAATTTATTTCTTCTAATGGTGCTTAAGTATTACAGAGAATCTCTAATATGATTCATAAATATACATATTAAAAAAAACTTCCTTTATATTGTATCTTCACTTTCTTTTAATATTTGCTCAGGTTCAGCGTGGATGACACCAATGGCAAATTACACTAAAACACGACTTTTTAGCCAAATAACAGCATTTGGATTATCTTTGGCTGTCGTCTGTGTTTCTACTGTCAATCGTAAGTGAAGAATTTTTCATATTTGTTTCTTTTATTTTATGGACAAATATACTTGTAAGACTATAAAACATACTTAAATATATAACTCCATATTTACTATGAAAATATGTAAAATTTTCAATAAAAATTTAATAGGCAACAATTCTTGAACAGAGCTCAGCTTTGGTAATTTTCATTCAGTATAGTCGAGGTTTCAACATTTAATAAGAAAATTTGATATTTTATATGGCCTTAGAAAAATATTAATATTATTATTCTATTAATATAATAATAATAAAAAGAAAATTAATATAACGAAAATAATTATAAATTTCATATAACAATATTAGAAAATTATATTTATAAAGTTTGGTTATCTTTGTTAACATAAACGATGTCCTATTTGTTATCAGACTTGAAGCGAGTTATAGTTTCATCTAAAAGAACTACAAGAACAATTTAATCGACAATTATAATGCAGGCTGAAGACTACTGTCTCATCTGAGTTAGTGAAAGCATCAATGTGGCCTCGAGAGGCAGAACCACGCTCTGTCTTACAATCCAGCAACCTCCTCTAAAGTACTCTGAAACTAAATTTACATTCTGTTCGGATGGGTGAGGTGATAGTAAATATCTAAATCAAAATAAGAAACTCACGGAGGCCGAAAGTTACCCATCTCTAGTATAGAGGTTGGCATTGCTGGCTCTGCAGTACTGACGAGCTCTGGATTGAATTACGAAAAAGGCTCGGATGCATTGCGTCTTTGTTTTGTAAGCTGGCACTTAAAATATACAAAGAGTCGAAAGTCATCTCGAGTGTTTGGTGGTATGAGAAGAAGTGCGAGAGACCCTTGAGCTTGTGCCTCGGGATATTTTGTTTCAAAAATTGGGGAGGAATTTGGCAAAGTCGTACTCTCAAGCTATACAGTTCTGAAGGCGCATGTTAACGACAAACGCAATCCTACGCACCTCGCCGTAATATAACTCTAGACGTGTTCTGATGTTGCTGTCAGACAAATGAGATAAATCACAATAATAACAACGCAAACTTAATAACTTTTGTTTTGAAGATATCTTAATCTCACGTTAATCATTCATTATTTATGAAATATAAAGTGATTAAAACCAAACGCCCACATACTGGAATGTCAGCTTTGAAAAAAAACCCTTTTAATTATTATAACGAAGTGAATTAAATTAGCTCGAATACTGATTTGTTATGCGTTACCACCTGTGCAAATGTGAAATAAAAAAGGCACAATATCAATTCTCATAATGAGTTCTGTGTTTTGTAACTTCTGGAAATTTGTTTATACCTTCATCAAAGTTGATGCTTTTAGCTGCTGCATTTTCAATAGGAAAAACTGCCATAACATTAAGCTCACTTGCTTACTTGGTTCAATGTTAATCGAAGAGAGCTTTAATCAACGTCAACTTTCAAAATCTTCTCGCCCAAGAAGCTACTGAAACAGACACTATCAAAAAGATTTTTAATGCCAAATATAAATTAGGGACTGTTTCTTGGAAGCCCATCGCCATTATAGTCTGAATGCAAATAGAAGGGAGAAGCTGCTTCTTTTTTACATTCCTGCCTATAATATAGATACATACACTTAAAAACTTCAAGTTCTTCGGAGCACCCCCCCCCGATTAAAGGCCAGGGTCGCTCTGTTCCCCTCGGTACACTCTACCCATTAGACGTTTCATAATGTTTCTATTTTACGTTTCATTTTAAAACAATTAATTGTTTAAGTAATTAAGCGATTTAAAAGCAATGAATGCCTATTTCTTGGCAATCTATATGTTAATTTTTAATGATATCTAGTTGACATAATTTGTAATGCACATAATTCGTATAATTTACAATATACCTAAGTTATAGCAGAAAAATTTGCAACATTATTATAGTTAATAAAATATGTTTCTAACGTTTGTATTAAATATCTTAGAACAGTATATTTACTCGCGGGCTCACTTCACCTTCACTTCCAAAAGTAAGCAAATTTTGTTACTATTTATAGCGTAGTTTTGGTGTTTATGACAGAACGCAGCGGGCTTCATATTTTCAATTCTCCTCTGCGAAAGCCTCATCAGTAGCTGAGTAGTTAAAATGATTGAATACTGGTAGTTCGACCTGCTATGAATTCTAACCCAGGAGAACGGATTGACTGCATAGTTGGATTTCGTAGTTTTCTGGATGTGTAATATGCATAGGATCTAGTATCCCTCAGTAAGTCCTCCACAAAGGCATCCTTCCTTTTAGGAAGATAGCCCTCCTGGCTTTTTCCATATTCGAATAACCTAACCTCCTCTGCGAGCAGCTGATGCAGCTAGACGGTAGTACTCCGAAACGGTTTACAATGAACTCTCGGTTAAGATTACATCCTAGTTTTGAACTATTCCACGTTTAATAAAATTTGCAAAAACCTCTGCTCCGAGCAAGTATTGTGACAAGACAAGGCCCATATCAAAGAAATTTCCATAAAGATAGCTGGTACTAAATTTTAAAACTTAAACGCCATGTAATTAATGTCCTAGTCCTTGTAAATTTCTGTGAAGCTGCTATGGTATATTCAGATTTTGTTACTGTTTACAAGTATATAGACACTAACAGTTAATTTGTATGAAGGTTTTATTTGCTAACATTTTTATCCTGAAAGGGCTAATAGTCTCAAAATGGTATTTTGCGTCGATTCGCTATAAGTGCGTTGTTTCGTTCGCGTCTGTTGCCATTCCGCAAAATGTTAACATTGAATACTGTCTTTCAAATTGAATTTGGCTGTAGTGGATTAACAAACTAAGTTATTTGAAAGCAAGAGAAGAAGTTCTTAAGAATGTTCGTTTCTTACTTTTGAACCGGATTAGTTTAAAGAAAAATGTATTTAATTCAGGATTTATCTAATTAAAACTATTCAGTATTTTCATAGAATGACGTTATATATTTTTATTAAATATTTCATATTTTATAAAACATTAATGAATTGTTTATTAACAAACTCAACAATTTAGCAGGAAGATGTGACAACACTGTACGAAATAAAAGATTATATTATCTACTGCGCGCGAGATTGTGTATCAGAAATTCTAAAGATATGCTTTTTTAAGTAGTTGTGACTTTGTTGTTGAATTGAATTTTATGTGGCGTAAGTGCAAAGAACGTCATACAAAAAAAATACGGAAAAAAAAATGTATGCACTTATATCTAAGACTGTTTTCTAAACGTATTTCTAAACGTGTTTTAATATATTGCTTTTTCTGTCGAATTGTATATGACGTTAATGCGAAGAAAACAATGTCTAATAATAAAGCTAAAAAGACAAAAAAAATCAGTGTGGGTTAGCAGAAGTGAGTGCAGCGGCAGACTGGTTGCCTGTGAACTCAGAGAGAAAGTTAAGAACCTTAGCAAACCTTTTTGGGCGACTTTTAAAGCTAAAACCTTTCAGATGATGGAGAGATTACATTTTTTTCTTTTCAAATATTGAGGTCTATGTAGCTTTTAATTTCACGTAGTAACAGCAAAGTCCAGCCAGTCTGATTAGCAAGTTCAATCAGACTACACGAGTCTAATATTTTATCTTGTTTTAATTCTGTTTTATTATCCGCTCAGTGTTCTGAGAAAAGTTTTCAGAAAATGGCTTTTCATAACTCAAGTAATACGCACTCCATTTGTATTCTGAGTTTTCACTTCAGAAAAGAATTCTTTCTTTGGATAAGCTTCAGTTTTTACAGCTTCCATTAATCTTAGGATTTTATAGTGACTTTGCGTTGAAATATAATATAGAGAGACTTATAGATTGGCAAATCCATTTATTCAGTTTACTCTTTTCTCCATGCAGCTCTACGACTGTTGCCATTGAATCTTTCGCATCTTTTTTTTAACCCTGCTTTATTTGTAATGCAGTACTATAAATTAAACGTCCTTTTTAATCACAATTTATTACAGATATTTAATATTAAAAGACATTGGAATTTTAAAAATAACCTTTATTAATGAAGAATATTTTCATGAGATTATAACAACATTTTAAAAACTTGCTTTTAATTTTTGCATGTAAATATTCTCTTGTTGTGGCTAATCTACTTGTCTGACCTAGATAATCAGAACAGGCCCGCGGATTTTATCGTGGCAAGAAGTGACGGACTGAGTCTGTCGTTAGCATGAGCTTTGAGCACCATATAGGTGACAATAAGATTATGCTCGGTTCCGCCCCAATTTAAAAAAACGCACCCTGGGGGACGGGTTTGAGGGTCTCCCACATCTCTTTTCCCTACCAATCTCTTTTCCCTACAAACTACCTGAGAGAACTCATGGTTCGCATTTACTTTGAGTGCCCTCATGACACTATGCGTTTACCAACGTATAGTGTCATGAGGGCACTCAAAGTAACTATTACGTGAGAGACACTATACGTTTGCAAAAAACCATGCCTTCTTCCAGATTTGAACCCAAGCCCTTCGGTACGACAGTCAGAGTTACTAATCACTATCCCATCTGGGCTGCGCGTGTACGTAGAGACACAGTTATTGAAGGACGCATTATCATATTCAGTATTAACATATTTCTTGTAAAGTTTAAAGAAAATTAGTGCGGTATTTAAATAAAAAGTTTATAGATTATTTATGATCAAGTAAAAGAAATATTTCACCAAAGTTTCAATATGAGTAAGTTGATCAAGTTCACTTTCATCTAGTAAATATAGCACTTGAATTTTAGTAACACACGCGCACACATTAAACAAGAAGAATCACATCAAAGCTTATATAGAAGAGACTATTCGCCTTTCTGGATCGGAAAACATGAAAATTCAGTTATGTCTTTGACGAGGTTGAACTCACTGATCTGTAATTGGTATTTAGGTGTGCTAACGGCTTAACTTATGAGCACATATAAGTGAATGCGATAATTTCTTACAATGTATAACTGTCAAAATATAGGTAAATAACTGAACTCTTTGTTTATCTCATTTTTATCCGTCTGCTAATTAAAACATTGCTTGATTCTTATACTAGTTATACTTCAAGTAATTTTTTAGCCATCAATAAAATTCGTTGCTCAATTCTTAAAGATCTCAGCTCTGATTTTAATTTTTTGGGGAAAAATAGAGCATTTCTTGTCAGAGTAGCGTGATACATAGTGACTAAACTAAACGAACATTTAAACCAGAAAAATAACTAAATAAATAAACTTTCTCTTTCGTTAGTTAACTTTGATTCTAGGAAATTTATCCATAAGCTTCTTCAGTTAGTGAATTAGACTTTTTCAAGCCTTTTACTTTCATGAAAAATTTTCCTTCTTTCGTTAATGACATTAATATCAATCTAATTCTTCCCAACGTGTTCAAAATTCTAAATACGTACCTTAGATTTTTTTCATTTTGTTACTATGTTCCTCAATAGATGGCGCTACGTTCATTTTCTCTTTGTTCTTTGCCCGTTCATGTTATTGTAAATTTCATTGTATCTCCACCTATTTTGCAAAAATATTTTGCTTCTGAAGAAGAATAACCCATGTTAGATCACCCTCGCAATCAATAAATTTTTATTAAAAATCTATATTAATAAAACGAAAAAATGTTCCATGAAACCTGGAAACAAAAGTGCATAAACTCGATTTGACTTGACTAGAATCGACTTTGAAATTCATTTTGAATGCTAATGCGCATTGATATGTGAGAAATTTGTGATAGATTTCTTGACCAAGTATGAGAAGGAAATTTTATCCCTCAAGTTAAACAGTTTCTATGCAAGCTCGTAAGACTTCATGTTCATCCCAGATTGAAGGAAAAAACACCCTGCTTAGACAACGAGATTCCTTCATTTTTCTCTTTTCATGAAAAACCTCCATACAAATAGTTTCTGTAGCCATTATCTAAGCTATCCAAAGGTTGAATAAAACGTATGCTTAAATAGAAATATAGGAATAGGAAAATCTTCTTCGATATTTTTTCATGGCTGTTGAAAAGCAAGAGGACTGCACAAAAAAAATTATTAGAAAATACCTGAAATAAAATAAAAGCAAATAAAATAAAAGCAAATAAAAAAATTTAGTATGCATTACTTTTAAGTGGCTTTTGTACTACTCCGCAGGCGTATGAGTTTGCATTTTAAAGCAGCCATTGTTTGCTTTAAAAGTAACATGACCGTAATAGGTAATAATTCACCGAAGGGGAAAATATATGCCATTTTGTTGGGTACCCTGATGACCCAACAAAATGGCACATGGCGGACACTTCGAAATATATTAAACTATAACGCGTAATATGTAATTTAATAAATTGAATTGGTAATTGGTAAAGAAGCATGTCTTTCCACAATTTCTTTTTCAAAATACAATTATATTTAAAAAATAAGACACACGAGCCGCATTTAAGATACGAAAAGGCAGCATGCCACTCGCGAGTTGCAATTAAGAGGAAAGAGCTGCATACCACACGAATAGCTTGTTATATAAAGTCAATAAAGGTGAAATACCATTCTCATAGAAATCGTGTATGCTAAAGTTACAATGAAATTAATTTTAGACGGCAATTACTTTTATGGTGATCTAGATTGGTCTAAGCTGTCTCGTTCTAATGATCAAAATAATATATCTAAGGAAGACAGATGTATCGCGTCCTCTAAATGTTCGCTTAGTTATAATGGAAATATCCAAGGAACTCATATATAGTATAAATTATTGTAGAAAGGAAACACATTTTGGCTTAATATACCGTAATTTTGTTATTAGAAAGTAAGCAATGTATATTCGTTTAAAAAGAGCTCATAGGAAACGTACAAAAAATAAGTAAGATTTAAAAAATCTTTAAGCGTCTCATTAATTTCTGATATTAATATAAGCTTTCCCTATATCATTTAGACTATGAAAATGGATTTTATTCGCACATTTTGGCCGTAATTTTATTTTAAAACCACAATAAACAAGGAGTTATCCTTCCATTGGAAAGTTTCAATCAGAATATTTTAATAATATTATCTTACCCATGAAAGTTTTATAACTCGTCATGATTCAAGCTTAATTCAGGTTAAATTCAAATGCTTAAAGCTCAATTTTTGATCCAAATATCCATTGTTTAATAAAGCCATCTAAAGGTAACAAATAATTACATAAGTTTCAATTTTAAATCAGTTTCATTGCAATTAGGTTTTGATTTTGCATTTTATATATAACATTTTTATTTGAAAATAATATATCTTACGTCTATATTTTTTTCTGTTTCAGCCGATTCTTTAGATAAAAAACAAAATATTAGTGATCATAGGCATATACAGGTAAGACATTTTTGTCTTCTTTCTGTGTTATATATTTTATGACTTTTAATGTGTATCAGGAAGATAATTAAATCTGTAGCAGTATCTCAATTTTTACAAACCACCTGTTATAATTTAGTTTTACAATCGCATAATCGCTGTCGAATTACTTCCAACAATTACACGGTAGCATTCATACTCTTTTCTAATATGAGTTTATTTGTTGTTGTTTTTTAAACCAGTTAATATCGTGCAATTCTTCTTTTACATTTCATTCTAAGAATATGTTTCCAGTTTTCAATAACATTTGTTATTTTTTATTTTTCCATGTTCTCGACGTCATTCCTTTTTGAAATAAATATTAATGTTTGTGCACTACTACTACTGAAAAGGTAGGACAATATTATTTAGAATAAAAAAAATTATTCCATGAATATGAAATTTACAGAATAAATCTGTATGGATATATATTATACGCATTATGAATAAGAAAGACAACAATTAAATTAAAACACATTCAAGTCATCAGGTCATGAGGCCACTGAATGCGACGGTTTATTACCCATCACTGAATATTCTACAATCGGACCAACTTTATCCTTTATAAATGTATAACCTCTGCCCTTTTCTATAAAGTAATATTTCTTGCATAGTATTTAATTGCAGTTACTACCATTCGTGCTTACGAGTCCTTGGTCTAAGGATTTTGGAAAGTTCCAAAATTATCCTGTAATTTAAGGAACATGAAAAGTGGGTATCGGTGGCCTTTGATAAAGCCCGTAACTGGATCACCACAGTACCGTAAGTAGGCCATATTTGTGCTACCAAACAGTAATTTTTGATATTGCAGATACGGTCTAATTAACATATCGTATGAAGCTAGGAAACATCTGAAGTTTAATGCAACTGTTCATTGCTGTAACTGCTAACACTAGCAAACCATCTTACCATTCTTTTAAGCTCTCACAATAACAAAAATTTTCGAGATAAAATACTGAAGATAAAATCGTGAATCTTCAAAATTGTGAATAAAAGGAACATCACTTCATTTATTTAAGTTTCGGCTGTGATGTTCAATGATTCAATCAACCAGATAGAAGGTTCGAAATCATTCTTCCTCTAAGATATACACTGCTCGACATTGAAAATGCAACACCAAGAAGGAGTGGTCAGAAATTTATGCAAATTTTAGAGTAGACGCACATTACTGAGTTATGCGAATGATGTGACATCTGCAGCTCTCCGACGCACGTGAAGTAAGATATAAGGGAAGGAACGTGCAGAATGGGCAATATTCGTGTCGTTATTTCTGCCAAACGAATTATCGAAGAAATTTGGTTTTTGTCCCGGAGAATACGTGTATTAGGAGAGAATGGCTAGGCCGCCGTCAACGGAGGCACTTCCAGCAGATAGACGATTTCCCGAAGGGTATGGTGATCGAACTGAGAAGGGTGGTTGGTCCTTACGTCAAATCGCAGCTGATACCCACATGGATCCGAGCACGGTGCATCGGCTATGGTGAACATGAAGGAGGGGTGCAGGTGCAGCCTGAGTGACGTCAGCACGTGTGGGTCGACGCATCCGTCGACAAGCCGTGGCGGTACCGCAAGTCACTTGTACCGCGATTCTGCAGCATGTGCAAGATTCCCTGGATGCTCCCGTGTCGACCAGAACCATTTCCCGTCGATTGGTTGAACGTGGCCTACACTTACGGCGTCCGTTAAGAAGACTGCCATTGACGCCACAGCATTGACGCCATCGTTTAGAATGATGCCGGACTGGAGCGATGTGGATGACAGAATGGCGAAACGTCGTGTTCTCAGAAGAGTCACTCTTCTATCCAGTGACATTCGCCGCATACGTGTGTGGTGTCGACGTGGAGACAGATCTAATCCGACAGTAACTGTGGTACGGCCCACCGCGCGACAACGTGGCATAATGGTTTGGAGCGCTATTGCCTACGATTCCAGGTCACCTGTATTTCGTATTCAGGACACTATGACTGTTATGATACTTGGATAATGTACTGCGGCCGGTGGCAATCCCTTACCTTCAGGAGCTGCCTAATGCAATTTTTCAGCAGGATAACGCCCGACTACACAGTGCTCGCATCTGCCAACATGCTCTACAGATACAGATGCTTCCCTGGCCACCGTACTCTCCTGACCTGTCACCATCGAACATGTGTTGGATGTGATTGGACGCCGTTTGCAGACTCTGTTCCTGCCTCGTTCAGAAGACGAACTGTAGCGAATGGTTGAAAGGAAATGGAAAGCCATCTCTCAGGACACCATCCTTACTCTTATTGACTCTATGCCTAGACGTGTTTCTTTGTGCATCGCTGTCCGCAGTGGTTCTACATCCTACTGAGCCTGTTTACCTATCGAATTTTGAGCCAAGCATTTATACAGATTTCATGTTGGTTTGTTTGCATTGTACTGTATTTTCTACTGTTTTTACGCATTTTTCATTTATCTACTTGTTTATAAGAAAATAATTGTTGTATGATTTCTTTTTATATCATATTAGCATGCATTATCATCCAGTCAACAAATCTATCATTATCAGTACACTATGTTCATTATCAGTTACTATGTTCTATTGTACTATATGTTCAATTGTATTATTTCTGTCAGCAATTACCATACCAGAAATTGTAAATGTTAGTTTGATGGTATCATGTTAGTTATTTATTTTGAACTTGTCTAATGTAGTAAGAATTTGTCACGTTAGCCTGCATCGGGCTCCCAACTATTTAGCCAGTTTGTATTGTACAATTTTTTACTGAATGTAAGGACCTTATCCTACTGAGCCGACTACATCCTACTGACTTGCAAAATCTGCAAATTTGAGCAATATACATGAATTACATAAACAAAATATTTAACTTGCAGACTTTGATCTATAGATTTTGTACTACATCTATAGAATATGGACTATAGACTTTGAACTGTGAATTCTGAATATAGACTTTGAACTATAGACTTTTGTTGGAACTACAAACTACTCATCATCACTACTATTTCTTTCCGTCGCGTATTATATTAAAAACTCCGCACATATTTTAAAGAGTTATGTCATATATTATGTTAAAAATTTTTGTATTACATTCAAAATTCTGTACGTTTATAATTATGCTATTTTATACATTATGCTTCAATTTTTTTTACCTTCCAAACTGTGTATCATTGCAAATTATGTATTCATTTCAATTATGTATCATTGCAAATTTTGTATTAATTTCAAATTATGTATATGTTTGCTAATATCGATAAACGGCTGGGATCACGTAGTGGGGAGACGGCGCTAAACCAATTAACCAAATGGTAAAGGCGAGGTACCCGTCTTCTCCGTTCCTAAATCCTAAATCCTACTGAGCCGACGTCTTTCTCGCTCTGTATTCTGACTATCATTTTGAAATAAAGATCACTTATTGCTGCTTGCTGTCTCTGTCTTTTTTTCCAAATTTCATCACTTTCTGACCACTCCTTTTTGGTTTTGCATTATCAATGTCGAGTAGTGTATATGCTTGTCTTTCTGTGATAGCAAGAAGGTAATTATCGTGGCTTACAACTGTTTTATCTTTGACCTTATTGCACTTTGACCAAAGCAATCATTGGCCATGGATGGCTCATGATTAGGTGCCCTGATCTGTAACTTCTATGAAAGCGTTTTAATCCTTTGATAGTGATTATAAAGTCTCTATATGATGCTTGATGTATACAAAATTACCTTGAAAATTGTATTATCTTTTATCTCCTACAGCATGTCTACAGCAATTCAGTTGTTATCATCATTCTTATTCCTCTTTCAGTTCCACATTTACTGTAAAGCTATTTCAAATTTCTTGTTATACTGAAGTTTGCTATTTAAGCACAAGACGGAATGAATAAGTTATAATTTAAAGGGCGTAGCTTCCTTACGACTGCAGAACATTAGACAGAGCCTTATTTAGACATCGCGTATATGCCTTCTTAACAAGTTCTATGCATGCTTATGAAATTCGGGTCTGGTGATCTTATACTAGAGAAGCAAACATTGTAAAATACAATATGATATTAATAAAAGGTAATGTGTCTTATTTTATGGTTCCTGAGTGGGTTAGTTTGTGAAGTTAAAAATCTCTGCGGTAAAAATCTGAGTATTTCAAAATCTCACTGTAGGGTATTATTAATGGAAGATAACTAGTAAAAAATGTTGGGCACTGCCCTTAAATGGCGTGCCAACTCAGTGCAAAAGGCAGTTTCTATATACTGAGACCAATAAAAATTAAATTTCCTGCTGAGATAATTCAGTTAATCATAGTTTCAAATACACTCATGTCCATATATTAAGGATAAGGCAAAATCAGGCAAAGGAAGAGTTAGAAGAAAAAAATTTGACTTATTTGTAAAGCTTATTTGTTAAACAAAAGATAAAGAGCAAAAAAGATGCTATATGTTTGATATTATTAAAAAAATTAGCGATTTTTTCTCCCTGGAGCAAATTACAAAAAAAAACCTATTTACATAAAACCAATATTACATGGTTGGTATGATTGTTAATACATTGTATGCCTCCCAGACGACGCAATACAGTCCGTACAACGCGTAGGTATGCTGAGTATCAAATTATCGCTCTGATCTTGGGGGATAGTACACTACTCAAAATGCAATGCTCTCCGAAGCTCCGGTAGACATGTAGGAGGAGGTTGACGGGCTGCAACTCGTCGGCCAAGCATGTCCCACACGTACTCTACTGGATTCAAGCCCGGTGAGAATGCTGGCCAGTCCATACGGGTGATATCCTCCGATTGAAAGCATTCGCTTACGATGTTTGCACGGTGAGGACGGGCGTTGTCATCCATAAACACAAATTGTGCGCGCCCATGGCGCCCCGAAACAAACGTATATGTTGTTCCAGAATGACATCCCGATAGATTTGGCTTTTCATGGTTCCAATTTAAACATGCAGATCAGTTCTGGAACCCAGAATAATTCCACCCCAAACGAGCACTCCTGCACCACCGTAACGGTGTCGTTCAATGATGTTTTCTTGGTGGTAACGGGTACTTGGAGCTCTCCATATGAAAGTCCGGCGATAATCAGACTGCAAGCTAAACCTGGACTCGTCGGAAAACATCACACAAGACCACTGTTGCGGTGTCCACAATGCATGCTCTCTACTCCAGGCTAACCGCAGGCGACAGTGAGTTGCAGTAAGTGGAACACATCTGACAGGTCTACGAGCATACAGATCAATCTGCCCTAAGCGTCTGTACACGGTCTGCCTTGAAATTTTCGTACCAGTGGCTGAAGAGAGCTGACGAGACAGGTCTGAGGCTGCGCCTGTTTCTTTTGGCAGTAACTGCCAAATACCAGTCCTCATTCGGCGTTGTAACTCTGGGGCGACATGTGCTGTAACCGCTACTCACATTACCATCATCTTAGAATCGTTGCCAAAGCCTGGAGATGACACTCTGGGCAATTCCAAGTTCGTCTGATACTTCCAGTTGGGTACGCCCACATTCCAGACGGCCGATAATTCTACCACGTAAAAAATCATCCAAATGCGTCCTTTGTGTCATAACTATTCGGTTATTGCACTGAAATGCTTATAAAGCGCCTGCGAACAATTTTACTTCTTTGCCTGCATTCCTTGTATATCACTCTCTTACACTCTCGTCATTGTGACGTACCATCGGTGTCATCTGGTTACTTCCCGAAATTTTCATATGATTCTTGAAGATGTGTGTAGTGATTTTACAGGTGACATATTTATTTTAGCGTTCGATTTCCGCGTGACTCCGAATTATCCTTAATTTATGGACATGAGTGTAGTTACCATTTCAAATCTTTTAAATTCTTTTTTCTGAAGAAAACAATTGCACAAAATCAATGCTTCAGATTTCTTAAATATAATGGACTCTTAATATATTTGAACTCGTAGAGACTAATAAAATTCTTTAAATATCTGTTAACGGTTTAGGGATTGACAAGACCTGAATGTAATCTTTAAAACGTTAAAAAAAAAATAAACACACAAAAATTGAAAATCAATTTTTAAAAGAAATGAAATATTTTTTTTATTTACTACAGCGCTATTGTAGTAAAGTCGCATTTTTAAATTACTGTGTAAATGCATACATCGTTAGCGAAAAGAACTGATGGGAGTTATATGTTTACTCCCATTAATTTAGACAGTTTAACAGTTTTCTGATTTCTGGAAAACATTATACCTTTTAATTAACTACTTTTCTGTCTGCAATAAAAAAGTTCAGAATAATGAACTGATCCTTCAAATTCTCGTTGTTTTTTGCGTAGTTCTAAGAAAGTTTTAACGATTTTGTTATATAACTGCCCACAAATTCCCAAAACGTTTGTCAATTTCGACATAATCTGCGAAAATTATATTATCATGTCTGGATTTTTCATAAGAACAAAAAAGTGAGTTTCTTCACTATATTCTTTGCTTTTCATAATTATTTTAATCGCAGAAAATAAATGAATCTGGCAAGGTGAAAATTGCTCTATACATTTGAATGCATTCCTCGCAATATGTATTGATGGCCTATAACTCGACAGTCAATAGTAAAGCTGTGTCGTAGCTTCCATTTTAATCCATGTTGCAAAAGTCTTATGATAAAAATTTCACATTTCTTATTGCAATAAACTCTCGATTAACCGAGCCTCTTAAGTTTGTTTGCGGAGTAAGAAAAATTACTGTCATAAACCATCAAACTGTTGGTGAATGAACGTGATTTTGGGTTAAGAGCGTACATCATTCCTGGTGTCAGGCTGATAAATAGGAAGTCAATTGTATGCCTTGATCTATAAGCAGGGCACCTTAGTATAGTCGGAGCCCCCAAGAAACCCAGGATTTTCAGAACTTCAATACTCATTTACCTTGTTCCCAAGCGATAAAAATTAGAAAGAATTATGAGGAGTTGTACGATGATTTTGGACTGTCCTAAAACTTACGGCTGTACTTCCAGGCCTAGTAAGTCTGTCCATAAGCTTTGATTTAGGGTGATATCTCATGGTAGGATATAAATACAGATATTCAGTTCAGTTTATTTATCGTGAGTTAATGCATCATCAGATACTAACAGAACTTTCCTTCTACCAATGTAAAAGCTTTATGCAGTTTTAACTGGTTAACGCAAGCTCCAGGTGTCATCCAGGCGTTAGTATACGTCTAAAAACTGCTAAAAGAGAAAACTCTTAGATTTATATAGATAATAAAGAGGGAAAGGAGAAGACTAGATAGCGTTTTATCGAAGTACATAGCTTTGTACGATTAGTTAGCAAGAGAAATTAATAAATAAACATGTTTTGAGTAATTGAAAATATACAAAATAATCAGAGATTCCGGATTTTGTTCAGGTTATCTAAAGTTAGAAGACAAGTAGTTTGAATTAATGAAATTTATTAATATTTATTTTAATTGATATTTTCGGGACACGAAATTGAGCTCAGATTAAAATTAATTGATTTCGAATCAATAAGAGGTCACTGAAATTGTTTTTAAATGTAATGATTATTAATTTTACCCGCCATCAAAATATTGACATTGTAGTAGAATTACTGTTAGGATTTGTTTATTTATCGAAGCATAGCTAATGAATTAGCTAAGACATTAAAACTAAATCATTCAAAAATCGAAACTTCTAGAATTTAGCAGTTGTTTCGTTCCTGATTTAATATTAAAAACTTCTTAGTGATTGTTTCTAATTCTTTTTCTAAGAAATATGTTTTTCTAAATATCTGAATGATGATTTTTCTGTTACTAGAAACGTTCTTTGCTCACCGAAGATGTCGATCTGGTGGAAGTATGTAGCTCTATACAGAGTTTTGAACAGTTGGAAACGGCCATAAATGTCGACCTGTTAACAGTGGAAATCCATCCGGAGGCTTGGGTATTTGCTACAAAATGCAGAGTTCCGGGGAAACCTTGCAAAGGCTTTGATGGTAAGTGATTAGATTGTTATTATGTATGTTATATCGGTTGCGGACACGTAGCCGGCAAGCACTTAGCCTACGAGACACTTAAACGACACCAGTTAGCCAACAGGATATTTAGCCGACACGGACACTTAGCCAACAGGATATTTAGCCGTAACGGACACTTAGTCAACCTGGACACTTAGCCGACAAGACATTTAGCCTATAGGGCCACTTAGCCGATAGGACATTTTGCCGACACGGAAAGTTAGCTACATATATTCCCGTATAAAGTCGTTTCGCTTCTCCCACTAATGAAATTTTCTTTTCCTGTCAGGAATTAGAGTCTTTCGCCTTACTCCTCGCCACACTTGAACTACTTTTTTTTCTGAAATGCTATTTACACCCTCAGAATGCTCTTTACACGTTAGGCATCGTATATTTATTAATCTGGTATAGGACTCCGGCGCGGGAATTCGTGCCTCGGGGTCTGCGGCCACCTAACAGAAGTTGGTTTGGTTTCGTTTGGTTTATGTAATTACGGCAAAGCCAGAGGACTATCTGCCTAAGGAGGGATACCTTCGTGGAGGACATTCTAAGGAAAACTGGCTCGTATACACTTTACCCATGGGGAAAACTACGAAATCACCCATGCAGCCAGCGAGTTTCGAAATTTGGACCAAACTACCAGTGTTCAGCGACTTTACCGCTCGGCCGCTGCTGGGCCTAATAGAAAGAAAGTGACCATTTTACTTAATGTATAACCAGTTTCTTACAATGAAATTTGCCTTTTTAGGCTAGACCATTATAAATGCATTCAGGAAAACGGGCACCAAAAATTTCCCATTGCCGTGTAGCTAAACCAAAAGCGAGAAAGAGAAAGAATTAAAAAGAAAAAAATATATAATTTATGAAAAATGAAATGAAAATTTATAAATTTTTAACAGATATTGGGAAAATTTATAAATTTTTAACAGATATTGGGAAAATTTACATTTTATAAGAAAAACATTAATATAACATATTGCACTCAAAATTATACATCGCGACTTTCAAAGATATGCACCCTCCAATTCCAGTAAATACTCAAAATGCATCGCCGCAACCCCAACACGATCCAAATCATTTAGTAGGCGCGGTTATAAAATAAGAGTGGAGCAACGTTTTTGATAGATGAAGAGTGAAAAATGTAGATTTTGAGGAAATGTATTCAGTTCTGAAGAAAACAAAACCTTAAAGAATATTTTACTTCTAAATTAAATATTATGCAACCGTTTAGTGCTATAAACATTAACCTAAGTAAGCATTTTAAGCAAGAGGCGTGGTCAATAAAATGTTACAGAATTTTTATCTGAAGAATGGTTGCATGAATTGCCTATTATAGAGGTCACAAATAATTTAAAGCTTTGCTTGTCTTGAAAATTCGCTTTTCTAATTATTTTTAATAAAAAAATAAAATACATTTGCTAAACTTATTTGCCGTATTAGTATAAAAAGTATAATTCAAGAATAACAACTATTTTTATTGCATTATTCAGATTTTTCATGACATAGAAAGGAAATTTCAGTAGTGGAAGGAGCGGAACGGTTTTATAAGAGAAAGAATGTAGCATGATGTATTGAGTTAAACAGTTAAAGGTATAAGATATTTGAAAACATTAGGACGAACAAGATTGGAAAATTAATATCATTAAGTAAACAAGAAAAATTATTAATGATGAGAAAGTGTTCAAAGGAACCCAGTTGATTAAATAAAGAAGCTTTGCGAACAATTTTTGCAGATCCCATATTAAAATGTAATTAAGTGACGGTCGTACTTAGCTAAAGAAATTATTTTTTCCTTTCGAAAATTAATTCATATTCCCTGACGAGGAATTTCAACGATTTTTCACTTTGGCCAATATACACCAAACAGCCCGATACATATCAAACGATGCTAAATTACACAAGAAATTAAAAGCACATATGAGATCATTCAGAATCGAAAGATGAATTTTACGGATAGGTTAAAAAAATGACTTAAATATTGTACTTATAGAGAAGTGGAGAAATTTTGTAATTGAGAGTAAGTTTAAATAATTATTGGGTAAGTGTCAGATAAACGTCACTGTCGGCTTAGTGTTCTGTTAATTAATGTCTTGACAGTTAAATGTCCCGTAGCTAAATGGCCTGACGGCTAACTCTCTGTGTCGGCTAAATGTCGTGTCGGCTAAGTGTCCTTGTCGGCTAAATTTCCTGTCGGCTAACTATCCGTGTCGGCTAAATGTCCTATCGGCTAACTGTCCGTGTCGGTTAAATGTCCAGTCGGCTAAGTGTTCTTGTCGGTTAAATGTCTTTTCGGCTAACTGTCCGTGTCGATTAAATGACCTGTAGGCTAAATGTCCTGTCAACTAAGTGTCCGTGTCGGCTAAATGTCCTGTAGGCTAATTAGTGTCGGTTAAGTGTCTCGTCGGCTAAGCGGTTGTCGGCTAAGTGTCACGGACTCACACGTTATATTTGCTAAATTTAGTACACTGTAAAATGCTTTCATTATCGTCTTGAAGCATTTTTCTTGCTTACTTTGTTTACCACAAATCAAAAAAATGTTTCCTATGTCAAACATTTTAGGAATCACAGGATGTTATAACTGCGTGAGAAAATATTGATTGCTAGTTTACAGGATTTAGATAGCTGAATTGTTAGTTTACATGATGACTAGTTTACATGATGACTAGTTTACATGATTTATCACTAGTTCACCTGATTTAGATAGTTGAATAAACGTTATAAAGCCTAAGTTTGCTAGCATTTCACTATTGCTTATGAGAATCACTCAGAGCTCAATTGAGACAACATGCGCCCCTACGCAAAGCCTTCTTTAAGGTGTCCCCAGTTACTCTTTTCCTAATTTATGTAAAGGAAAATTTATTAATAAAGAACTGAAAGATGGTTTGAGAGTCCATTAATACGTGGGGTCTGCGCCGCGCCTTCCCTGCGCTTTCGTTCTAAAGCGGTAATCAAGGTTCTAGGATCATATAAAGTTTCAGTTAAGGAAATTACTGGTCTAGAGCATCTTAAATAAAGGGAGAGTCATTAAAAGCCCATTTGAGACAGTGTGGACCCCTAGGCAAAGCCTTCTTTCAGGGTACCTTAGTTATTCCTTTAGTAGTTTATGTGAAGAAACACTTAAATTGTAAGAGCTCATTAATACGTGGAGCTCCTGGCCTGCGTTTTCGTCCCTAGGTGGTAATCAAGTCCTAGAATCACATAAAGCTTCACTTTATTATAAATTAATTTATAAATTATTCAGTTTACAAATTATTGCTCTATAGCATCTGAAAGGAAGGAGTTATAAGGCTTATTATCAGACTGGTTCTATCGCCGTTCTATATGCCTTTCCCAAACGTTTTCTTGCATAGACCGCTATTAAAACAAAGCTTTGTTTGCTGACTCCTTATACTTTCCTCTACAATGTATAGCATACAACATAGTTATATTATAAATAATTGCACATAAATAATTTAAAGATGACAATTCTACTAAGAACATGAATAAAAGTTTTGAAGGAAAAATGGTTTATTACATTTATGTTTCATTATTTTGCATGTTGCTATTATTTGTAATTTAAAAATATAAACAAGTTTTCGAAAACAATAATGAATTCTAATTGCACAAGAGTTTGATTTTGCTCAATGTGATGGCTGCGTCTAATGTAATAAGCAATTTTTAATATTTGCTATAAAATTGCTTTCTTGAGTCCCCTCGTTCAAAGGTATTAAACCTGTTTCTTGTTTTCCGTACTAAATAACTAACTTAAGCCTGCTTGTTCTAGGTAAGAAAACGTCAATAATGTTGGTTCGGTTACAAATTTTATTTTGGGATATTTCTCTCGGATGAATTTTATGTTTCAAAACTTAGTGCACTCATGTGTTTTGAATAAGTCTCGGCTTTGTATGATATAATTTTATACCAATAAACAATTAATTGTCAATGTTATTAATATTTTTGTAATCAATGGGGGGACTTTATTAAGTCAATCAAATCTCAGGGCACATTCGGCTATCGATCCACAGTCGACCTCTTGATCATCATTCATCCGTTCCCTTTAAAATTTCATCGACCCCAGAGGATTCAGAGTACCTCTGAGATCCCAGCGGAAAATTACCGACCCCACTGGAAACTCCTGTGTTAAAAGAAATGGTAGCATCAACTGCGTTATTAACAAAAGCGGTCATAATTTGGAAAGCTTCTGTAGTTTCATTTGAAGCTCAATTTATGAAACACCTTGTATAATTGTATTTGTAAACTTTGCAGTGTAATTTCATTTATAGAAATTACAGATTTCAGATGTAAAAGTATTTCCGAAAATTTAATCTAAACGGCTTTATATATATACTAAAATGTGGTGCATCAGTATAACGTGGACATTAGGGCCAAAATTTAACCAAACACGCTCGTTAAATTTGTAGTAAACAGCAATACATTAAGAGATAAATATACAGACAACATAGGGAAACAAAATATTTAACTATACCACACGCTGCTCCATGGTACATCCCTCTAAAAATGCATATGGTACAATTTCAGAGATAAGATATTTAGCAGATATCATATATACTCAATAAAATGTAGTGCAAGTTTAGTAAAACAAACTTCATCGTGAAAGTCTGCAGAATGCAAGTAAATGTAAAACTCCGTCGGTTTTAGAATGGATCGTTTCCAAGTCTCAGGACTTGGAAACTCAAGTCCAAATTCTCAGGAAAATCGCAAAATATTCGCTATGCAAATTTTCGGTAAAATAAACTGATCTTTTTAATATTCATATCGCTTGTACTTTTAAAAAGTGTATGCAATAAATGATAAAAAAAAATTTCTCGTATATTTGATTAAATCTCTTTTATATCATCAGCTAATGACCTGCTTAATTACTTACCTACTTAATAAAAATTACTGCCACTGTGCTCTAAAGTATCGATTTTGTATTTTAGCGTATAAATCCATTAAGCTCTTTGTCATTTAACGCGTTTATTTTTAATTCATAATAATAC